AAAGCCAATATTCAGTAAAAATTATAGCGCCACCTGCAGGCAACAAGAAATGACTTGTTTCACAGTAACTGATCTGCCCTAATCTCCTATATTTACCACTTATCGCATATTGCCCACTGTTTGCCGTTTTCCTAAAGCCACCGGGTGGCGGTGAGCCCGGGTGCGAGGGCCCGTTCATCGCTGCTTGCAGCTTTAATATATATTGTTTTTGCTTTTTTTGTACATTGTCTATTTTGTCTATTTTTATATTATTCTTTTTATTATCTGTGTCCTGTCTTGTCACTGTCATTCTGTTGCATTGTGGAGCTTCTGTCACTAAAACAAATACCTCGTATGTGTAAATATACCTGGCAATAAAGCTCATTCTGATTCTTCTTCTGAGAAAGGGCTTCCATAGTTGTAAGTTGATGAACACATAACACGCAGTTAAACAATTCAAGCATTTCATCTTTGAGTAAACTTTTTATTTGGATTGTTTATATTTTAAAATGATATAGTTATTTTAATTTTACATTTGTATTAATTATTAACTTTTCATCAACTCACAAATTTCTTGCAGTTCCCCCATTAACCTCCAGAGTTTCCTCCAGTGGAATGCAAAAAATATATATATTCTACCTGACTTCCAAAATGCCTAATCAAAAATTTACCATGTAATTGCGATATCTTTTGGAAGCAGCAATTTGCACTAAGTATAAATAGCAATTAGATGCTATTTACACTAAGTGAAAATATCATATTTTCTTAGCGATAAATGCTATTTACACTAAATGCAAAGATTCTATTTACACTGTTAAAATAGCAGGATTTTCTGCTATTTATACTACTTATTGCAAATAGTGGCAATTATCTGCACCTCAGTATTGTAGTACATTATAAAACAGTATGCACTAATAAAGTATTGCGTGTAAATTACAATGTTAATTCAAATTATTAAATTGATACCACCTTATTGGGATAATAAAGCCTTCCCTACACCTACCCTAACCCTACCCAATACTTTATTTACAATTATTTTCATTTTAAATGCCTTTCCGATGGGATATGAGATTTGAAAAGGGAGGAAAAAAAAGTTCGGCAAAAGGCGGATTTAAACTCAGGTTGATCGTGTCAAAAAGACACGTATGCATTAAAAAATGCATATGCATTTTTACATCTACGGCACTGGAGTTGATGTTTGACGGTCATCTTTTGTAGTGTTGACAAGCCCAATCACACATTGGTGGGCGGAGTAAGTGTAAATTGCCTCTGCCAACAAGGCGGGCTATTTGTACTTAGTGTAAATAGACACTCCGGTATCCTTTGTCAAGCTAACGAAAATAGCTTTTCTTAACCAGTTAATATTAAGCTTAGCTTGACAACTGAAAGTGCAAAAAAAAAAAAAAGAGACATTTTTAATTTGACCATTTAACTTGGGTAATATGATACATGATATGATTTTAAAAGACATGAGTTATTTTTCCATGATCACGTTTTTCCATTATTTCCATCATCTTCATACCCATACAAAAGCATCCCTTTGGGCTCCAAATGAAACAAGATCTTGTGCAATAGCAACATTTTCCCACAGGGGCTAACATGACCACTCTAACAAGCCAGGCTTTGACCTCTTGGGTCGAATGGTCGAGGGAGTTGCAGGCAAGTGGTGAAGAATGACATTTAAACACTCTACAGGCACAAGCTTGGATGGGTGTGTCCTCCTGCAATCCCTCGTAACAGCCTTGCGCTAAGTTAGCTAATATCCCCATTCCCAGCTGCCGTTGTGTTTTTGCTGACCAAACACATCTGAGCCTGGAGAGAGCTAGAGGCAATCAGCCGGCGGGTCGACAGCCTTGATCGATTATTGGCCTTGCCGTTGGCCAGGTGATTATATATCATTTGTATGTATTGTGTTTACTTTCTTAAGTGTAGCCTTCGCTAATCAAAGGCGTTCTGCTGAGACAAAATGCAGATGTTGGTCAGGAGCCATTCGCTCTTGTTCCCATGAGTCACTGCTTCTGTGCCTGAACATTAGACTGATAAAACCCTGACAGCCCAGGTCCTGGTTTGAGTGTCAGAACTGCGGCAGAGGCAATTTCATTAACTTTCCTTCTATCAGTTATTAGCAATATCAAACGAGTGTGAAGTGTGTTTGTGTGCCGAGAAGATGGTTATCGATTGCGAGAAGAGATCTCCTGAACTCTGTGCGGCTGCTGACGCCGAGAGATTGCTTTAGATAGTACAAGTGCATATGGAGGACAGTTATGTTGCAGATAACTTGATACATTGTGAATTGTGTCATCAAAGATGAATGTATAGTATTATGATGTCTTAAAGTGCTTTCCATTGAACGGACAATAAATCTGATGTTTTTCTCAGAGAGACGATACATATGGCCAAGGAAATCTCACGTTTGCAGTCACTGACAGTTACGCAAACTTCATGCGATTCATTGCCAATGAAAAAATAAATTAATTTGCTTGCAGCCCCATTAGTAAGGCTCAAGTGCACCTTCCTTGACACCAAACTAAAAATATGTTTTTGTAATAATAATGGATGTTACTTTTAAACAATAATTAATCAAAACATACTTATTTATTTAGTTAGTTTAAAAAAATTGAAATTATTTTGGAAGTTACTTTTGAACAATAATTGTTTAAAACAAACAAACAAACAAACTTATTTATTTAGTTAGTTAGCTAGTTAGTTTTAGAATCTTATAATAATAAACTTGTAATGATTGAGGAAATTACTAAACATTACTTGTTAAAGCATAAATTAATGTATTTTTTTAATAATTACACATTAATTATTGTTTTTATTATTATTACAGGTTAGGGCAGTTATATAAGTATTTAATAAAAACAAAACAAAACAAATGGAAATTATTATGACAGTTACTTTTAACAATTTTTTTTAAACAAACAAACTTATTTATGCATGTATGAATGTATTTACTTATTTCAGAAATTTGTTTTTTTAAACTGAAATAATCATGGAAGTTACTTTTAAATATTAGCTGTTTAAAACAAAAAAATAATAATTTATTCATTTATTTATCTAAACATTAATTAATTAATTATATGCTTGTCTTTTATGTCAAAATAATTATATGTATACATTTTATTATTATTATTATTAGTAGTAGTAGTAGTTTAGAGGATGGTTATGATGATATGTTGTGAACTGTGTCATCAATAGGAATATATTGTATCATAATGTCTTAAAATGCTTTTCATTGAATGGACAATACAGTTTTTTGCCATTTTTCTCAGAGAGCCAATATGTATGGCCAGGAAACCATGACAATTGCAGTTACTGGCTGCTTTGCGGTCTCTCACGATTCATCGCCAACGAAAACCGATATCAAATCCAGTCAGTGAGGTTAATCCCTCAAATTGTTTTTCTTTTTTCATTAAACATAATGATACCTGCGCAAGGTAATGACCGCTATCCGCAAAGGTCTCCATATTGCTAGCGCTAATGTACTGTAAACTCTCTCTCTCTGGGCTCCATCTGAGATTTATTCTGGCATGAGAGTGTGTGAGTGCACCCTGTGTGCATGAGTACTCTTCATTAATGTGAGATAATGTAGTGTTGGGAGGATCCAATGCTCCTCAGTCCGTCCGTGCGTGTTCTAAGTGGCCGTGTGTTGCCATGTGGCTAAAGTGCGCTGCATTGCTAATGTATGCTAATCCAGTAGACATGGAGCTTAAGTGTCATTTATCATCTCGTTTGACAAAGTCCCGCACATTTTCACACCGCTTTAGATCGCTTGTACAGAGTATTGTTCAAAAAGATAAAAATGGATGTGCTGCTAGCCTGTTTTAATACAACGCTGATTCATTTTAGGCGAGCTGAAAGTATTCATTACTCGTTCGCTCCCAATGGACCGTGCGAAGCGAGCGGTGTGTGATTAATGGTTGGTCTCGGTGCCCACACAAGAGCAAAAACCTGAAAACCAGATCCCGAGACAAAAAATAAAAACGCCTCGGCGCCTGAGAGAAATTAGAGGAGGGCAAATCTGAATGGGCACTTGAGTTTTCAGTCCTCAAGTCCTGCTCCACTGAAGTAGCACACCTGCTCACTGGGGCCTTGATGGTAGACAATGTTCTTGTTTGTGGTTATGAGGAAACGTGCAGTGGCATTAAACTGCTGTCTAATAAACTGCCTTTCTTGATTTCCATTTGAGATGGACTGAAAAGCCCTTCTCCCACTCCTATTGAGTGGGCAAATGTGGCACACAATGCGGGGTCCCTTCTTTCACAGAAATGTAATTGTCAGTTTGTAAATGTGAAGGTTTGCCCAAAGCATAATCGCCCAGAATGGTAAACATGTGCTTTATGAGGCATTTTGCATTTGAGGTGCATGCATAGATGTTGTATAGGCCAGAGTTTTTACAAACCAGGACAGCCCCAGCATGTTTTTTTTAAACTAGTCAATCCATCCATCTATCCGTCTCTCGGTTTGTCTTTCTGTCTATATTGTTGTCTATCATTCTATTCATCTATCTATCTTGACTTGAGAAGCACAACTGTGTAAAAAATGAAAACTTGTTTTTATGTGCAGGAAAACACTGACACTTCCACTTGACAACACATGAAATTGAAAACACATGACAACTTCCACTTGGCATGGAAGTTATGATTGTATTTTTCTACAATGAAACTGTTTTAAAAGACTATTATAATACACATTTTAAAAGAAAGAAAGAACAAAAATATTAACCCAAACAAATTATATTATATAATATATATGCACACACTAGTCCTGTCAAACGATTAATTGTGATATCTATCTATCTATCTATCTATCTATCTATCTATCTATCTATCTGTCTGTCTGTCTGTCCGTCCGTCTGTCCATCTATCCATCTTTCTATTTGTCTGTGTCCATCCGACCGACTGTCTATACATCCATCTATTCATCTGTCTCTTCGTCTGTGTATCTGTCCATCCATCCTATTTATCTCTCCGTCCTGTCCATCCATCCATCAATTTGTCTGTCTATCTATACATTCATCATATCATCTATTCATCTGTCTCTTCATTTGTGTGTCTGTCCATCCATCTATCCATCTATCTGTCTGTCTATCTATTGTTTTATTGTCCTATCTATCTATTGTTCTATCATTCTAAGAAATTAAAACTTGTTTACATGTACAAGAATACACAGCAGATATACTGTATATCATTGATATATTTATATATAATTAACTAGCATAAAAATGTCTGTATTACACAGTGTGTGTGTATTAGACTGGGTCTTAATTGTTTATTATACTTTCTATCTATTTATTTATAAGTATGTCTATATCAAGATATAGAAGTTCTGTACAATGTTTCTATTATATTATCTATAGAAGCAAAATATTTAATATAATTACATTTTATTATATTTGTTATAAATTATATGTGCTTTCGATCTATTTTTTTTATCAATCCATTCATCTGACTGTACTGTTTCCATTAGTAGATATGAGTCAAAAAGTCTATTGGAGTAGGTGGGAAATAGAGCAGGGTGTGAGTTCACTGCCAGGTCACTTCACAGGACGTCAAGGCCACTTGCTGTGACGAAGAAAACCCAGAAAAATTGAGAACATCCAGCATGGACAGGCGAAGGTGACTGATTTTTGTGCTTGGAAAAAAGAAAGAACAGTTCAAAGCCCTTTCTTGTGTGTATGTAGTCTATGCAGCAAATGAATTGTGCAATATGGATCACAGTATATTATCTTAGCAGATACGTGTCATTTATACCCTCAGCTGGCCCTGTGGGAAGCCATTTAGACCAGCAACATTGATGATTTGTCATAGTACTACATATGAGACTTCACTAACAATGCTGTCAGCAGCAATCAGGGAATGGAGACTGGGGTTTTTAATGTGATTCACATGTCTGATTAAGACAGGAACTCCCAATTCAGCATCTAAACAGCTCAATCTCTAATTCTCCACACATAGCCCTTGTGTTTTCCCCAAGGTCTCTCCACTGTCTCTCTCAAAACCCAATCAAAAGTAAGTCATCAGTGCAGCTCATCAGTGCAGACAAGCAGCCGTGCAGAATGAAAGTGTCTCATCAGTGATATTCCTCTGATAGCCCTCTAGTTGGTAACAACTCACCCACTCAGCCTGTGTACCCCACAGTCCCAGGAGCCCTCACAAACAGCCATGCCAACATTCCTCTTAGATACTGTTACATTTTCAAATTTCTTTATTAATTCATGCCACTGTTTATTCATATGGGGCAAAATCTAGAACATTGATTTTTAACTTGGGATTTGTTCTAAGAGGCCAGGCAGATATATCTATAGATTTACTTTTGAGGGGCGGGGGGGACGTTTTTTTTTTTGTCTGACCATGAGTTTAATTAGATCACCTTGTACTATCCGAAAGATAAATGAGGTTTACGCTTAAAATAAAAAAAACAATAATAAAAATAACAAATACAATGTTTTAAGAAGAAACCTCCCTTAATTCATTAGTTAAATAAGTTTGTTTTGTATTTTAGTTAAATATTCGTTTTATATTTGTTTTGTATTTTTATTTTTGTATTGTTATCATTTATTATTATTATTATTATTATTACTATGCAGTAATGTGTATCCTGACACCTTTCCATCAGAACCGGCATTAACTTCTTGAGCAACTTGAGCTACAGTAGCTCGTCTATTGGAATGGACCACATTGGCCAGCCTTCACTCCCATGTGCATTAAGGAACCTTGGCCACCCATGACCCTGTCGCTGGTTCACCACTGTTCCTTTCTTGAACCACTGCAGACCAGGAACACCCCACAAGAGCTGCAGTTTTGGAAATGCTCTGACCCAGTCGTCTAGTCATCACAATTTGGCCCTTGTCAAACTCACTCAAATCCTTACGCTTGCCCATTTTACTTGCTTCTAACACATTAATTTTGAGGAGAAAATGTTCACTTGCTGCCTAATATATCCCACCCACTAACAGGTGCCATGATGAAGAGGTAATCAGTGTTATTCCCTTCACCTGTCAGTGGTCATAATGCTATACCTGATCTGTGTGTGTATATATATAAAAATATACTGTGTGTGTGTATATATATATATATATATATAATCCTCTTGATTTAATGATATTTAGTGTGAAATACACTTATGATAATAATTAAGTGATTTATGGGTGAGAAGATTCATAGTTGAGCTGTCACATGCTTGGACAGGCTCCAAAAATACTCGGCATCAAAATGATAAAACGCTTGCTGCATTCAAAATCAACTTATTTTTGGGAGGAAGCACATGTTTCACTATCAGCGGCAGAACAAACCCAATCACAGCATCAGTTTGGCTGGGTATTAAAGCAGGTTATGTTGCTTTATTGAGCATCCAAATCTGTGTGCCGCTGCAAGAGCAAAAAGAGTCGATGGATGCCAAGCGAAAGCATTCGGGAAAAGAAACAGAGAAGGCAAAACATCTGGCCTCTAGTTTTTAATTAGAGCCTGCTCACCTCTGGGATTATTTTTAGTTCAGGTGGTGGGGGATTTCTCCTCCTTGCGGACCACCTGACAACAACGTGAAAGCACCTGTGTTGTTGAAGTGAGAGAAACAGAGCAAATGTTTGCTTTTGTCTGAGCTTCATGCTGTAAAATAAAGAGATGTGTGAGGCGGTTGACACCAAAACCCACCGTTTCTCTTTGGCTATATTGCAAACGACTACCAAAAGAGTTCGTAACCCTGCCCCGCTCCAAGGGCAACTGGAGCAAACCACAGAGTATGGGATTCTGGGATGGGGGCGCATGACCAATGGGAGGACACTTAGCCCAGGGAGATGCAAAATCGATTCGGTTTCACTTATCAGAGTCTAGTGAGAGATGAGTTTGCGGGGTATCCATAACAGATTCAGAGCAAGCCTCCCGCTGAGAAACTCACCTCAATTTCCACAGAGCCATGCTCCTGCTCTGCTTAGCCAGGATCGAGCACCAGATTTTTTTTTTTTGGAAGGGGGAACAGCAAAGAACCTCTTTTTGGGTTGGCAGGAGGTTTTATTGCTAGCGGCTATGGGTGATGACACTAGCCGGTGTGATTGAGAGCGAGTAATCACGAGTGTCAGGCCCGTTCTCAATAAAACCTGCGTGCACAAAGCAAGCTTCTCTTTGATTGACACTTTCTTATAATCCGCCATATAAATTCCGGGAAGCTTATTATGGCTTTTTTTTTGTTGTTGTTGTTGCTGGGTGCTGTAAGCACTTAGTTTGTCTGTATCAACGGGCCTTTCAACCTGCGTACATTTTCCATTCATATACGGGGAGAAATCAATCTTCAAACGGTCTAAATGCATTCATAAGACAGGAACGGCGCGGTT